GGACCAGGACAAAGGCAAGAATTGCATGTTGGTGTGACGAGGACTCCGAACCCGCGACCCTCAGATTACGAGTCGAGCGCCCTAACCACCTGGCCATGCCGGGCCTCTCCACTCACATAGTAGCTAGAATCCCACATTGAAACAGTAGAGGGTCTGGTACAAAACTTACCTAGATGAGGAGTCTTCTGGAGACACCCAAAGAGAACCTATGTAGTGTGACACCTTAATGTATAGGGTCACACTCGTGGGAGACTGTATCCCATATGTACCACGTATATTCTTTGCCCATTGTAAAGATAACGTGTCCCAAATCAAGCAGAAAAATGTATGTCCAATTCGTAAGTGGACATGCCAGATGATGTAGAGTGGCTAGGGCACGTCAGACCATATTTGGTGGGTCAACTTCAGTCCAAACCAGGAAGCACTGGGTATTTTTCTTTTGGTCCATAGTACGAGGAGGATCCCAACTGTCTTCACCTCAAGCCGAGGAGTCAGAAGGGAAAATCAACTTCCATTCCGACAAGCAAGACAAAGTGCATGTGTGCAGATCCAGTACCAGGCCTACCAACCACATGTGTGAGGAGTTATGTTGGCTGATCCTATGCTGATCCAACACCAGACAACCCAGGAACTGACATCCAGGCAGTGGTAGGATGGAGGAAAGCCAGCCAAAGGGGTGAAATGCATGTGGGGGATTCGTCTAGTCTAAAACAAGGCAGCATTAAGAATTTTTCATCCAGCCCATGGTAGGAGGAAAGTACTCACCATCTACAGCACTGTCCTACTCTCAACTGAGTGGAAATAGTCATACTTAGGAGGAAGCCTCCATGGTCCACCACCCCAGTAGCTAAGAGCTGGTGAGTGGTGAGGACTCCTGTACTCCACTAGGAGAGGGATGGGAGCCCAGAGGAGCTCTACACCATAAGACAGTGCAATGGGTGACCACAGAAAACTCAGTTTGAAAAGCATGCTGGTCGTGATTTATTCAACCAGGATTGAAGGGATGGGCAGCAATCCTGACACTGCTTTACTAATGTTAATCCATCAGTTGGTATGGTCTAGTTCAGGCCGTTTATGAAGCACGATAACATGAGGCAACCTCGAGCATTCTTATGGAACACCACATCTCTCCAGTGAATATTGTATACCTACACATCTGAATGGTGTGAATTTATGTTGAAGTATACCTGGAAGGCACCACTCACCACAGAGCAGGATCCATGCAATAAGAAAGGGGCTACTGTAATAGTAAGAAATAAAAAGAAAAACTTACCCTCTCACAGAAAAAATGACATGAGAAGGATGGCAATGGAAGGCAAGCAATAGCCAGATGAGGAGACAATGATCAAATGTGCAAATAGTGGGCTATAAAAGTGTGAGGCCTGGTCCAAATGCCAGCTTGCACAATCTCCTCCAATGGGCAACAGAAGTGGACAGCCAAGGAGAGGGTGAGATGATGTACTTCATGGGACAAGACCTGGAAAATGCAAAAAGAATCCTCAGATACTGATGCATAATTAAGTTGAATAAGTTGGTGCAGCCATCCAGTAAGGGTCACAGATAGAGGAAGTATTCCATGGTATAAATGGAAGAGAACAGGATCCATGCAATCCATTTTCCTAATCTGTATTTCCAAACAAACTTACCTCCACTGATACTTATATCTATTTCTCGATTTTCATCCTTGCCATCTAAACATCGTGTTCGCTTGCTCCAGTCATTATACCCCACTCAACTGCCCTTGGCAATATCTAATTTGCAAAACTTTACACTGGCCCTCACACACCCTCTATGTAGGTCCTGTATATAAGCACTGTATGTCAACAATATAATCTCTTTTTTGAGACTTACCCCATCATGGTCATTAACACCAGCTCTTAGTT